TATAAATCTATCCCGCTTTCAACACGCAGGAGAATATCCATCGATGGCGACGCACAAACCGACAGGTCATATAGTTGGAAGAAGCAGGGGCAGATGGAAGGTAGAAACTGTAGAGTCCTGGCGAGTCCAATCATCCTTTTGGATGAACATCTATCAATCGACAAATGGGACAGTAGTAGTTCACATCATCCGTCACAATCGGCTGATGAGTGCTTGTGATTACAGGATACTCCTCAACGACGTCACTATGATCGAAGGGTAATGCGACTATGAACGACGATTTCTTGAGAAAGATACGAATGGAAGATGTGTATTTTCCCTTAATAGCTGTGAAAATGTGTAGGCTTATGCAAATATTAAGATGTTTGACGCACTCAGAAGTAAGACACCCGCCGAATGGCTCGGAAACAGAACGAGAACGAACGGAAACTGTGCTGCCGCCTCCTTGGGTTATTTAATGATCAGGGGAATTGCGGGTAAAACATATAACACTAGTGAACAGGAGAACTACTAAATGAACTCCTAGAATCTGTGCCCAGCCGTATAGAATGTATTATATACATCAGTCACTGTTAAGGCAATTTTTTTCATCACTACTTTTCCGGATCTGAGTAATCTTGCATCAGCCCACATGAGAGCTCAATTATCCCTGTTTTTGTCCGGAATTGATCAATCCCTTCGTGATGCGCCTAGTATCGAGTATTGTGGAGGTGGTTTAATGGATATTTGCCCCATAAATTGCCTTATGAGGCTAAGAAACATATTTTGTCAGCGGTTTTTTCCAACACCTACTTTCTTTTCATAAAGATTTTAGTGCGGCGGATGGCGCAGTGGTAGTAATGACATCCGTCACGTGGACGGTGCTGGTTCCCCAGGAGCTTCTTAAGTGTTTCGTCCGTTTGGGGTCGGAAAATTCGTAGCGCACTTGCTTGGGCGTAGTTAACTCTCTGGAAATCAAGTGGGACTAGCCTAGGTTTCCTATGAGAATCGAGCTGACCGACATTCAACGATATTGTTAAAGAGAACAAGAATCTTCATGGAGCAGCCGAATACAGACGCGAAAAATTCGAAGGTTTTCGTGGATGGTGTATTCGAGGAAGCGAATCGAAGGTAACATGTGCTGCGATCCACACAGTAATTATGAAGGTGGTTTGTGTAAAAAAAAAAGAAGAAGGAACAGGGTAACAATCTTGTGACTGCTTATCAGTGAGAAACATGTATTACAACAGTACTCAGGATCGACTTTCTGTTGACCTCAGCATGGAATTATGAATTCGTTGTTTTCTCTCTCAGCAATCGAGAGGTCGTTAAACTTCATACGTTCACTTCCATACAATAACACACATACAACACAATCGTAGCAGACGTTTCGGCAGAATTGCCTTCTTCAGAGCCGCTTTTTTTCACCTGTCTTCCACCGAGGAAGAACATCCGCTCGGAGTCGCATATGGTTGATGACTGAAGAAGGCCATTCTGCCGAAACGTCAGCTGCGATTGTTGTATGTGTGTTATTGTATGGAAGTAAACGTATGCTATTACAACAATGTCTCTACCTTTGACAATAAGTGTGGTACCACTTTTCCGACGCTGGAAGGATGAAGAACATGATTTGGTTCAGGCGCGGGACAGAACCACCGACTACGTATGCATCCTAAGCCCACTGTGCTACATGCTCAAGATATCTACGCAGTACAGAACCAGAAGCACCGTATTATTGTACAAGAAGAGATATATAGAAGTAATATAAGGCAATATCACTTCTTAGTTTAGAAAGGCTGACCACGAATAAATTGGGAGAGATGAGATCTCTTCGCTGTGTCCCATTTAGTTGGACGAAATAAGCACCTAAATGTTCCAGATGTCTGTTCTCACTGATGCAGTAGGAGCGATCTCACTGAATAAAAGAAGGTGAAGTGAATTTAATTCTTATTCTACTGAGGCTCAATTTTCAAGCCAAACACATTGTGCACTTTTTTGTCTCAGCATCAAAAAATGTCAAGAAAAAGACAGCTACGGTGGTCTTCGTACAGCTACGGAGAAAGTACATTTTAGCCATCTTCATGTCTTACAATGATTTCAACCAGCTAAATGAACAAAAAGTGATAAATCTTATCGCAGGTAGTCAGAAAACCGTACGTGGTAGGTTGTTCGCTGTTACTGTAGCATTGACCGGTACCGTAGACTTCGAGTCAACCAGAAACAAGCCGTTGGGGAAATCTAATATCAAAGATAGACAATGTTGCAACAACCACGTGAATGCCGAAATATGAGCAAAACTTGGAACAACAGTTGGGCTTCGATCCCGAGATTACCGTCACGGGGCTCAGGTGCTGTCCACCCATCAGCCAATACCTTTGCTTTGTCTTTGTCTCACCTATGTTTTACTACATCGATGCTACCAGCAACCATCTTATCAGTTACAACAATCTCCTAATTTTTAAAATGAGACCTTTTAAGAAGTATTATGTCAACTTTATTATTAAAGAAATAAAATTGTCAAATACTCATAGAGCAAACCAATGAAGAAATTTGCTCGTGTTCTCAGCGAGTTCTCACATCGACAACGACGAATCTTCGAAAAGGCAGCGCTGATAGATCGACGGTGAAGTGTCGTCTGGGTAGCAGTGTGATCGAACACCGGTGGCTGGTTGTAGGTGATTTCGCATCATCTAGAGAGCGCCAAAATTTCTACCAAATTAAGAAATCGGAGCACAAAGGAATGCGGTTCCTGGAGATAAATCGACTAGGTAAGAGGTGGATACCAGCACGAAAAAAGAACGTTCGAGATAGCAGTGTCGCTGTGGGGACGTCACCCTTGTTCACTGAATACTTTCCATTATCTAATTCCTATAGTTCAACGGTCCTCCTTTAGTTTAATAATTTTATCCTTAATTACTTTTTTATAATGTATGTCATGGAGAGTATGCAGCGCAGTGGTTAGAGGTACCTTCCAATACCAACATTGTCGTTGGTTCGACGAGGCGGTCCAAGGTAACCACTTTCTTCACCTATCGAATTGGAAGCTAGACTTGTCAGGGACGTTAGAAATATTGACTTTATACATCGGTGGACCTCAAAAGTAGGTCATGTATTCATTCAGCCAGCCCACGATGGTTAATAGAATCGAATGCCTGGTGCAATGACTAGTGGATTGATTAACGACTAGCGACAGATAGAACTATTAGATCAGATATTTGCAAAACTCTGGACCGCAGGTGTCTATGGTGGGGAACGAACGCGCTATTATCCTTTCCGGGGAGTAACGCGTTCACCACCACACCATGCGGGTCCTTTGTTTCG